ATGTGGGGGCAGGCAGAAAGAAGAAATCCACGTCCTTTGATGTCACCTTCGGGGTCGGGTCCTTTGCTTTATACCTCACATTTCATTCACATTAGAAATACTTATTGTCGGGCGCCTGGGTGGCTCAGTCAGCTGTGTGTCCGACTTCGGCTCAGGTCGTGATCTCACAGTTTGTGGGTTCGAGCCCCGCATCAGGCTCTGTGCTGACGGCTTGTTCAGAGCCTGGAGCCTGCTTCGGATTCTATGTCTCTTTCGCTCTCTGCCCCTCCCCCGCTCACGCTTTGTCTCACTCTGTTTCTCAAAAATAAATACGTGTAAAAAATAAAATAAAATAAATACTTATTGAACACTGGCTATGGTCTAGGCAATGTTCTAGGTGGGAATACAGCAGTGAACAAAAGGACAAAAACCCTGGCAAACAGAGGTTAAGTGTTTGGAGAAGAATATTCACACGTTCTCACAACCATCACAACCATCCGTCGAGATAACTAGCCTTGCTACTGCTTTTGATTTTTGAAAAAATACGGCTTTGCCAGAGGGCAGCTGGGCTCGAACCTGGGCCCACCCCCAACGCTCGCGCTGTTTCCACCATGCCTGAAATTAGAGCCTTCTCAGAAGCAGAGTTTCCTAAAACTAAGGGCGAGGACATTGGCTGAGCTCCTACTACGTGCCAGCAGGCCCTTAATACAAGTCCTTTGATTTAGTGTTTGCTAGAAAATGTAAGATAGCCAACATATTGCTGCTGCCATTTTCTAGATGCACAAAATTGAGGCTCAGAGAGAGAAAGTAGCTTGCCGGGGCCCAGCCCAGGTCTAACATAATCTCTGCCAAGATTTCCAAAGTGCCAATGTCCACCCGTGTCCCCCGGGACTCAGTCGGGATGAACGGACGATGGTCCCTACTAGGGGACATCTCAGTCTCCATGACCAGTCTCGGGTGTAGGGAGGGTCTGGCCCTTTTCCTACCAGTCTGCTTCCCAGACTGCTTCAGCTATGGAGCCCAAGGCAAGGTTAGGAGGTCAGGAAGCTGGACTGATGCCTGGCAATCCCAACAAAGTCCCTGGCTCCCCGCCCCCGCCCCAGCTCTGCCTCCCAAAGGGAATCACACACAGCCCCAACCCACCCCCACCCCCCCACCCCCCGGACACTGGCTCCCTCTCAAGTGAACACTGAGGCCTCAGCGTTTCAGGGAGGTATGATCAACTCATTTTATACACAAAGAAACAGGCTCAGGGAAGCAAAGGCATCTTTCCCGAAGCCCCAGCCCAGGCACCAGGGTGTCCTCTTGTCCCTGTGATTGGTCCATGCCAGCCTGGTGACTCTCTCCCACTCCGAAAGCCTGGGAGGATAGCACTTGGTGGTCAGCGCGCCCAGAGGGGCACAGGTGGGTAAGTTGTGCCTCCTCAGCTCGATTGTGAGGGGTGTGCTGGAGACGGGGACCTGCCTGGGAAGCCCTGACAACGTCGCATACAGTTGGTAGCAGCCAGTGAGCACCCCAGGGTGGTCTGCCTCGATTGGGACCTGGCTCAGACAGAGCTCAGTTCTGCGGGTCACCGAGCCATAGAGAGGTCAGAGACGTGAAGTGCAGGAGGCAGGATTCAAACCTGACAGTGTGGCTCAAAGTCCGGGCCTTTTTTTTTTTTTTTTTTTTTAACGTTTATTTATTTTTGAGACAGAGAGAGATAGAGCATGAACGGGGGAGGGTCAGAGAGAGAGAGAGGGAGACACAGAATCCGAAACAGGCTGCAGGTTCTGAGCTGTCAGCACAGAGCCTGATGCGGGGCCCGAACTCACGAACCGCGAGATCATGACCTGAGCCGAAGTCGGACATTTAACCGACTGAGCCACCCAGGCGCCCCTCAAAGTCCGGGCCTTGACCCCTGCACTGTGCCGCCTCTCTGATTGGACCTGGCAGGTCCATGAGATGCTCGGGCCGGCACCCTCCCCAGCACCCCCTACCATACTCCCCAATGGCCCCTAAGTCTCAGGTACTCCAAGCTGGTACCCTTGTCCCCCCCATCCCTCCACGCCACCCCTCCTCCTGCTTCGGTATCACCCCTACACAGAGCCTGAGCCCCTAAAACAACCTGGCGGTAAGCAGATGCCTCCATAAATCAGAGTCTTGTCCTCTCACCCCGGACACAATCCCACCCCTGCACCGCCCGTTTCTCCGGCCTCGTGCCTCCTTGGATCCAGCCAGCGGCTCACACATGAGCCCTGCGTCAGGGCTGAGGAACTGATGTTCATTAACAGGAAGTCTCGGGGCGGTTAATTGGCATTTATGTCCCCAGGCACACACCTCGAAGTTGATAGATGATGCTGTTCCCGCCAGCCTGAAGCCGGGTGAGGGGTTCGGTAGCTGTGCCAGGGCCCTCACCTCGCCCACCCTCCCCAGGACCGAGTTTTAGCCCTGGCTACAGTTGTTACACAGGGTGGGGTGAGGCTGGGGGTCACCTTTGCACATTCAAGTTCCTCCCTCTGCTTCAGCCAACCCCTTCCTGCCTCTTCTCTCTAAAGACCGTGGAACCGAAATCAGGCCCAAGGTAGACCCAGCTCTGTTTGGGGCTAGCTCTGTGATCTTGGGCAAGTTACTTAATCTCTCTGAGCCTCAGTTTCTCCATCTCCAAATTCTAAAGCAGATGAGACACAATCCAGGGCCAAGTCCAAGGCCTGAGCGTAGCAGGTGCCCTGTGGACACCCCCTACCATACCCCCCCCATGGGCCTGAAGTCTCCCCACGTTTCCCCCTCAAGCCTGTGCCCCTGTTATCCCCACTGCCACCCCCAGTAGCCCAAGCCAGAAGTCCGGGATGTCATCTGGGACACCCCCCAACATTTAGTCACCAAGTCCCAACGACTATACCTTGTAAGTGGTTGTCCTGTCTGTCCATACCTCCTTACCACACTGTCAACATCTTGGATGCTTTCATCTATGCAGATTCCCACGCCCGTCTCCTCACTGGTCTCCCTGCCCCACCCCCCCTTCTGCCCCCACCCCCCTGAAAGCCTGCCTTGCAGCCAGAAAGTTCCCTAAAGGGTAAATCTGGTAAATTTACCCTTTTGTTTACAACCTTTCGGTGGCTCCCTGTTGCCCTCAGGACAAAGGGCAGCCTCAGTTTCAGACAACATTTACAGAATCCTTTGCAACTGTCCCCACCTCTCCCACCTCCCTTCCTGCTGAGGCTCCCCCGTACCCTGTCCCAGGCCCCTGGCCCCTCGCGCTGTGCCTGACTCCGGGTGGCCCGTGCACATGGGTGTTCTTCTGTCTTTCCCTTTGCCATCTGCCCACTTCAGGACTTGGCCTGGGCACCAGCTCCTCTGGGAAGTCTTCTCTGCTTGCCCAAGCCGGGTTACGGTCTTCCGGGCTCCCCCTTACCCCCATGCTTCTGCCTTTTTTTTCTGGCAGAAGAAGTCTGTGCCTAGCAGGCGCTAAGGCGTGAGTGCTGCGGGCCCATCCCTAAGAGGTTTGCACAAATAGGAAGGGAAGGAGACTGCAGAGTTCAAACCTCCCTCCCACTAAGCTCCTGCCAGGACCCCCAGGCTGCCTCAGGCTCAGCCTGAGATCCCGCAGGGGGCTCGGGTTGGTGGATTCTTCTGGGCCTCAGAGGATGGCCAGGGCTCATTCAGCCTGTCCTCTAGCCCCCGGCGCCTGCCTGTGGCCCTACAGGACTCACAGCTCTCTCCTAACCGAAATCCTACGACTATCTTCCAAGCATTTCATTGGCCCCCTGAAGCAGACCCCGGAGCCTCCGAGGCCAGGCCCGAGCCCAGCAGCAGGCCACCAATCTTCCTGCCAAATCCAGGGCAAAACAATTTCCCAGCCGTAGGCCAGGCCCTTGGCGGCAACCTCCCCGGCCAGGGGCTCGCGGAGCACCCCCTGGATTGTGCTCTTTGCTGCCTGCCTGGCATCTCTAGCCCAGCCTCTGCACAGAAATACTGGGGAGCTATTTGACCACATGCTTGACGGGGCCCGTCCTGAAACCCTTCAATGGCATCACCACCTGCCTGAAGGATGAAGTTCTTGCTCCCCAGCTGGCCCAGGAGGCTGCGGGATCTCACTGCACCCAGGTTCCTGGCCGCCCAGGCCTCAGCCTGCCCTGCTTCGGCTGCGCAAGCCCGCGACCGCTCCCAGCTGCACCAGCCTTGGCATGGGCTGTTGCTCCACCTGGGAGGCCCTTTTCACCTTTCTTTTAGGAAGATACATATTACATGGGATAATTAAATGCGTATTAACTCCTGTGGGTCTCCTACTTGGCTTGCTCAGGAAGGCAGGAGTTTCCTCCTCTGCGCCCGTTCAGAACTGTGGGTGTTCCCCTGTTCTGGCCCCATCACGTGGTGCTCTCGGTTCTTTTGATATGCGGCTCTCCAGCTAGACTGAGAACTCCTGGAAGGCAGGGACCAGGTCAAACTCCTGCCCTCTCTGTCTCCCCCTCGTGGCATAGCTTTAGGCAAAGCACTTAAATGTTTGAGGGGTAAAGGAAAGAAGGAAGGAAAGGGTCATCTCCTTCTTCAAGTATCCAAATACCTGCTCTGTGCCTACTCTGGTCCGGGCTATACTGTCCTCCATTAGTTGGGGCTTCTGGGCTTCCTCTTCTATTGATTGATAGAGACAGAGAGAGAGCAAGCGAACCGGGTAAGGGTCAGAGAGAGAAGGGGAGAGATAATCCCAAGCGCTGAGTCCGACGCGGGACTCCAACTCACGAACAGTGAGATCATGACCCGAGTGGAAGTCGGACACTTTTTTTTTTTTAATTTCTTTTTAGTCTTTGTTTATTTTTGAGAGAGAGAGAGAGAGAGAGAGAGAGAGAGAGCGTGAGCAGGGGAGGAACAGAGAGAGAAGGAGACACAGAATCTGAAGCAGGCTCCAGGCTCTGTGCTGAGAGCCCGAGGCGGGGCTCGAACCCACGAACCGCGAGATCATGACCTGAGCCGAAGTCGTCGGACGCTTAACCAACTGAGCCACCCAGGCGCCCCTCTCCCCATTCTCCTCCGTAGGCACTCACCATTGTCACGCGGCGAACTTCAGATAGTCTTAGATGTTCTCCCAGTGCCTGGCCTGCCATGAGAGCCTTCTGTCTGGCCCAGTTAGGATCCCAGCTCTGCCGCGAATTTGCCATTTGACTTTGACCAAGCTACCTCGTCTCCTGGAGTCTCAGTTTTCCCTTCTGAAGAGGGAAGTAATATCTCTTGTCTGCGAGGCACAGGCGAGCCAGCGGAGCTGTGAGTGAGGGCTTCAGGGAGGTAGAGGCCGTGCTGGGTGCTGCAGAAGCGGGCAGCATCGTGCCCCTGCCATCCCGGAGACACTCCCACTGCTGTGGCCTGAGTCAGCCGTGGGAACCTTAGCAGACATGTGCAAGAAGGGACGCTGGCCCAGGTGTCAGGCCCCTGCGATTGGGCCCTTGAAGCAGCCACTTCCCCCAGCTGGTCTCAGCCTCCCCGTGTGAAGGGTGACCGACACTGACCCCTGGGTCTGCGGCAGGTGGCAGGCAGCGAGGAGGACTCAGCAGCCGCCTAATGTCAGTGAGGGACCTTCCCAGGGTGCCCGGCAGCCGGGAGGCGTGCCAGGGGGACGAGGAGGCCGTTAAGATCTTAGGCCTCAGCCTGAAGCTAATATATATTATTGGCATGTGGTGAGGCGGCGGGGGAGGGAGGGAACTGGGTAGTTCTGCAACCGTCAGGACTGATTTATTGGTTAATTAGGAGGTTTCCACAGTCACCGACTACCCTGCTGTGTGCATGGACGCGAGGGTGGGGGCCACAGGGCAGCCGGGACTGCTGGGAGGCCAGCTGGGACCCGAGTGGGGCTCCGTTTCTCACCTGATCTGGGAGCACCAAATGGCTGAAAAAAATAATGCAAGGGGCTTGGGTCAGGCCGTGGACCTGGGACTCAGTAGCTGGGACAAGCCCATCAGGACTTGCCGGCCCAAGTACTGAACAGAACTGTCCCAAAGAAGAGGACTGGGAACTCTCTGAGATTTCCGGACATCGAGTCAAACGTGGGAGCTGCTGGTTTAGGGAAGAGGGCCAGTGCAGGATCAGGAGTCAGGAAGAACCAAGGAAAACCTTGGAAACCTTGGAAACTGAGAGCCGAGGCCCCCAAAGTGGAGAAGGCCGTTCCACTGAGCAGAAAAAGTTAAATAGCAGTGGGTTTGAATCCAACTTCTGCCAAACACTAGCTATGTGAGCTTGGACAAATCACTAAACCTCTTTCTTTCTTTCTTTCTTTCTTTCTTTCTTTCTTTCTTTCTCCTTCTTCTTCTTTTGTTTTTTTTTTTTTTGAAGATTTTATTTTTAAGTAATATCTACATCCAGCATGGGGCTCCACCCCACAATCCCGAGATCAAGAGTCACACACTCCACCGACTCAGACAGACCCCCCAAATTACTAAACCTCTCTGATTCTTGGTTTCTACATCTGCAGAAAGGGAGCTAATTATGTATCTACCTTGCAAAGCTGCTTCGATAATGAGATTGAAGAACGTAGCACCGCGTAAGATGCACAGAAAATGCTTCACGACTCTTTGCTAAATCAGCTGCTAGGGATACATTACCCAGGCCACACAGCCTGGAAGGGAGAAGCGGCTTCGCAAAGGGTGGTTGAGGAAGCAGGGCCTAGAAGGTGCTGACCGGGTTGGAAGGGCGGGCAGAGGAACGGCCCTCTCGCCAGACCGGCTGTGGACAGAGTCTGGGGGCTGCCTGGCCAGGGGGCTGCGCTTCGCGGGGGTGACCCAATTTCACCGCCCAGGGGCATCCACGGGGGCTGGGGCCCCAGCTCAGCCAGTGCGTCTCAGAGGACCCCTGGCGTTGGCGCGTCCCCTCGTCGCCGTCGTGCCCTGGGGGGGAAGCGGAATGACGGAAAGACGGTCATCCGGCAGAGTGGAGGCGGACCGGGTTTATTCCGGTCCCGGGGCCGACGAGGCTCGCCCGGCCTCTCCGACGCGGGCGGGCTCCTCCCCGGGCCCCCAGCCCCGGCCGCCGCCCGCCGGCAGCCTCCCGCGAGGCCGGG